CAGCGAAAAACGGGCTATCTCCCGATGTATCTAACTCAATTTCGAACATTTTCACGAAAATTCACTTTTTTTGAGGGGGGGGGGGCCTTAATATGTGCTTGAAGGTACAAGAGAAATGCATTTAGCCTGCTGTACTTACTCGAAAAATCTGTAAAAAATGTGTGTATAATGGGTTTTATCTTTATTCTTTCATGAATTAACGGATATTAGATCGTTCTGTAGTGTTCTCAGTTCCGGGATGTACACATAATTATATATCATTGTATTTCATCTTCATCCTCACCTTACTTCAATGACTTGTATGAAGTGAAAAGTGGTTGAAAAACGGCTAAAGTTATCCTCATGCCTTACCTTAAGTACTGCAAAATCTGACTGTTACATCATCAGATAGAGCACTTAGAAAGCTATTCATTGATGAACTTAAGATCCAAAGTTGATGCTTCCTTCAAAGAGAAAAGCAATCTGTAACTCGATTCGTATCTGTTGAACGATGACTTATGGAAGACACTGTAGCGCTGTGTTAAAAACCTATTAAATCCAATACGGATATTATTCGGGATTTTTTAGACAACTGCTCGTCGATCCGTACTATGAATGAATAAGAACGAACTTGTCCAATGGTATTCTCGTTGAATGAAGTGTTCCGTATTGCCATGGTATTTCTTTTTATACACCAAAACATAGAGAAATAGCTAGTTAAAGGAAAAGCAAGGATGTGAACAGTTGAAAGAGCACTTGTATATAGCAACAATTCAATAGGGTCCATAGTTGTTGATCATTAGTGTAACCTTGGCGAACGATAAATACCATGGAGAGACCTTTGCTCTTTGCTTGGAAACAATTCTTGACACAAGCAGTTCGTTGTGGGCTATCTGAAAAACAGACTGGCCCATATGAACCTGTACTCTATCGTCTACGAAGAGAGACGCTCGTTCGGTATCACATTTGAAGTTGACTATAGCAACAACGTCTCCACGTTGGGAAGGATCGACATATGCAATTATAGTGACATTAGATTCAGGTTTGATCACATCAGTACTGAGATCGACTGTAGTAGAAGGTGAGGTTTTGGTGTTCTCATATGTAAGGGTGACCGTAGAGTTGTTGATCATAATGAGTTCCAAATGGTTCTCGGGAGGCGCTGCAGCAACGACAAAGAAGACCGACAGAAGTGTGAAGATCAATGTGTGTGACATTTTACAGCCTTTCCGAAAAAGTTATTGTGGTTTACGTACACGTAACTTCAAATGCTGTCGTCGATAATCAAGATAGACGGCAAAGAGTATGCGAATCACGCCAGAGCTCCCCAAAATAATGTCTATAATACTTCCGTGCTGGCACGAGGCTCCTTTTGTTCTGTCGCATAAGGGAGGCGAGAGAGCTGATTGTGTTATCACATTAATGTGACCATTGCTCTGTATGTGTTATAAATGGAAAAAAAATCTTCTTCAGTGTTTCTTTGTTTGCGTAGGAAAGCAAAGCCTTGTTCTTGTTGATAACAACTCTGACATGGAGAAAGTGGAATGTTTTGCATTGAATCGCTTATCTCGAATGGGTTGTTGACGTTTGCTACACAGATTGCTGGACAAACCTTATCATCTCGAACTTTTAATGAAAAAATTATATTCCAAAGTTTAATAGTAGTCCCAAAAAACCAGCAGCTGAAAAAAGATGTCTCTTTAAAAACGAAAATTCGTAGTTCTAAATCGCTGAGCCATCGTTCGGCACCAGAGACTTTCTCCACCAGTCAAGGGTGTGGGTTTGGATGTCGAAGTCTTCGTTTTACCCACACCCACCCCATAAGATTAAATAAATTTGAGAAGTGATAAAATCATTTTGGTTTTATTTAATATAATCGAAAAAAAAACATGTTTATTTAATTTAATTAATAATTTAGATGTTATTCAAAGAGTGATGTTCGTCATATTTATCAAATATCAATAAGTGAATCTTATCCGGAAGCATGTTCTATAATTGCTGATATTCTCATATCAGATTTATTTCCAAAACTTATTTCAAAATTAATGTTAGATGAATTAAATAGTGCATTAACATCATATATAGATAAAGTTTGGCGTTTACCACAAATCGATTCATTTTTCACTCAATATCTTTCTTCATCAAAAGAACTTCAATCAGCATTTCAAATCGATGAACATTCTTCAATGATTTCATTTTATTTAAAAAATAATTCAACTCAATTATAAAGAGTTAATCATTTAATTAATCAGATTGATAAAGTTTTTTTTATTCATAAAGATGTTCAACGAATTGCTTTATGTTCTCAAAAATATCGACAATTCATAGATGAATTAATTCAAGATGATAAATCTCTTACTCTAGACAAATTTTCAAATGAACAATGTAAATTTTTACCAAGATTAAATTCTTACACAAAAAATCTCAAATTATACCTGGTTTATATATTGAATTATTGAATAAATATTATCATCTATTAACTGGAAAACAATAGCAACATATCACTAATATTATTTTAAACGATTTTCTTCAAGTAATCATTTTAATGAAAAAAAAAGAACAAAAATTTCAATTGTCTTCTTTTGTTTTAGTATAAGCCTTGTTCATATATGGCTTCATTATTATTAACTGGAAACTATCAATAAATATAAATTGGATTAGAAAATAAAAACTTGAATGATTTTTACAATGATCAGTCAAGGTTCACCACATATTTGTAATTTCACATTCTCAATCGCACTCGATTAGAATCTATTTGTATAGCTTGAAGTTTTGTTCAATTATTAAAAAAAATTGCTTCGAATATGATTTTGACTGAAGACAGAATCATACGAAATATAATTAAATACTTGGAGGCGCATATTAAATAGTTTATTCAGTTTTATTACTACAAGTTTCGAGTAATTGTTTGAGATGACGATTACATCACGCTTTATCATCATTCAATTAGCTTCTTGCTACACTTGAATATGATTAATTAAATAGGTGAAGAGCAGACACTATACGGTAAGCACAACGATACTGAGACACGAATTCATATTTATCTTCGCTTTCGTACGTACGTTTGATATTAGTATATTATACAGATAGAGCCGAGAACACAACGAGTCTTAACAAGGAGCCTTACTTGTTTTCAAAATCGATATATATATCTCAATAATGGCGACCATTTTATTACCGGAAAGTTCGAAAAACCATTATATCATAGAAAAATCAATACAATTCTAGATCTGATACAAAATTAAAAAAAGTTAACTACCTTTACATTGAAATTATGAAGTAAATCTAAGATTTAAATAAAAATATATTATCTGATATAAGAATTGTTTCCAGACTAGCGTTATTTAAATTTCAGTTTATTTTTTTCATGTTAGTTTCTTAATACGATCATAGTTTTCAAAAGAAGATAAACGAAAATAATTATCCTATACCATCATAATTTTCAGTTATTGAATGAAATAGATATTCTTGAATGTAATTCAAAATCAGTACATGAAGAATTTTGCAAATAATTTGATTCTATAGAGAAAGAAATTCTTATTTTACTGATGTCAAAATGATCATCATGATAAAGAATAAATGATATGGTGAAAAATCGTTCGAAATATTACTAAAAAAAAACTGATAATATTAGATGCAAATAGTCTTATAAAGAAGTATCTAATTTGGACAAATTAAAATCATTACGTATTCTTCGTTCTTTGTCATCTAACTACATATAAGAAAACTCTTGCATGGATTTATAAAAAAACAAGGCTCTTCGGTTAACAAACCAGAGTTCAAATGAGAACTCTTGTAAGGGTACTCGTGGTGCTGCTAGTCAACTGCTTGATGATATAATTCTATGTTTACTGGCTACATTTGATTTAACTTCGGAAATTTTACTAAAGAATTTTGATCTATTAAAAACAATGTTAAATGCATCAAATGCTAAATTTATTAGTGATGCTATGCTAAGTATTTCACGTAAAATAAGTGATGAAATATTTTTTAAATCTTATATTGAGTTTATTCGTCATGGACAATTTCAAAAACTTGGTGAAATTAATTAATAAGAATAATAAATACTTTATCATTGAATACGAATTTTTCTTTTGTATATTTAGGTGTAGCGGTAACTGAAGAGATTCTTCGTTTATTAATTCAATATGTGTCCGATCCAAATTTAATAAAAACTGTGATAGAATCTTTATGGGATAGGTATCCTCACCAAGACGTTCGCACATGTCTTGATGATTATCTTCCAGTAGTAAGAGCTTTATTTGCTGCTGATAGAGGAGATTCTCGTTGGTTATTAACAGAGTAAAAGAATTCATCGAATAATTTATTTGAAATATTTGTTAATCAAATACAATTTAAAATATTAGATCATCAAACATCATTAGAAGCATGTTCCTATGCTTGGTTAAATCTTGAATATAACTATTGTCATACTACTGCCTTAACTGAAAAAGCTCGAAATTTATGTATTCAGTTTGATAAAAATGCAAATATTTTATGGGAAAAAGCTTTTGCAACAATGGTTTCATTTTATAAACAACAAAAAATGTAAGCTAAAAAAGAAATAATTATTTATTTATTTTTCTGAATAGATCTTGATTTGATACTATTATTGATGTTATTAAACAAGTCATGTCATATAGAGAAGATATGGATTCAAAAGAAAATGCCATTGATAATCAACATGATTTACCAGTTTATCGTCGTATTCAAACTATATTAAAAGTTCTTATATCTAATATCGATGGATTTAATAATAAGGAAAAAACTTATATTCGTTCACTTACTCCAATTGTTTTTCAGTTTGATAAAACATTAGCTCCTCTCATTGCAAAATTATTAATAAAAATAACTCAAAATAAAGAAGATATTGAAGATGGATTGAAAATTCTTCAAGAAAATTTATCTGAAATTTATTTTGAAAAAATATTAACAGATCTATCAAGTTTTGTCAAATCATAGAGGTTCTTGCCATTTTATTCAACATGCAAGTGTTAATGAAAAATTTAATTTAGCTCAATGGTTTATTAAAGAAAAAAATCGATCATTATTAGTTTTTGATTTACTTATAAATCATGTATTTAATCCATCTGTTGTTGATCGAGAACAATGCCAAAATATTCTTCGACATTTACGACAGTGTGAACATTTAACTGTAAAAGAGGAAGCTATGAATTACATTGTGCCTTGGAGACAAGATGGGTGTGGGTGTGTGGGTGTTGGTGTAGGTGTAGGTGTGTGGGGTGGGTATGGGTGTAAGTATGGGTGTGGGTATGAGTAGAGACAGCAATGACACACACACCCACAGTCACACCGACACCCACACCCTCAAGACCGCTTTTTTTAACATTCTCTTGAGAAACACCTGAGACTGGATTCTTTTGACTAATGAACGCTTTCATCTGAATTTAACGTCACTTTTGATTCAAAAGTGGCAGCTCTGAAGTACGACACTCTGAAACTGGTGCCAAAAATTGTGGAACCTTCAATTAGTCATACTTTACAACTGGGAGTTGTGATTCCAAAAAAATTTTTTTTTGAATAACAGTTTGAGCTACGAAAAAGTAGAGCACGTCATTGGATAGAGCTCGTCGAGTTGCACCAGAATCGATCTTTCAAAAAATTATGTATGAACTTCTCTTCGACAACTCTTATAGTGAATCTAAATTCACGCAATAACAACCAAGAATGCGTTCCAAAAAATATGGAATGTGTTCTTAATGGTTCCATTTTGGAACACTTTCCACTTTTGTTGGTAACGTCTTCTTTTTTAAAAAAAGGGCTTTTAATTTTACGGAACGCGTTCTTTCCCGTTCTTTCAAGCAAATATGTCTCACTGGGTTGTGCATAATTTAGAAGTAGTGTTATTCAACCAGACATGTTGACTATTCATTATAATCCTGATTTATGGGATTCAGAAAATCCAAATAGACTGTTGTCGAAACGTCATTCAGCTCAAAGACATCCGATGGCGTTTATGCCCTTTGATCTCGGTTCACGTAATTCTATTGGAAAGTGATTTGCTTTGATGGAAATAAAAATGTGTCTTGCGAGTTTACTTCGATACTATTCAATCTATTCTGGGGATTCATTTGTAAAACAACTTATGCTCAATGATACATTGTTCATTTTTCAATCAGAAAATGTTTATGTAAAAGTTTTAAAACGCTGATCTTACACAATTTAAATAAGCAAATGTGCTTCCACTTCCATAAAGACTATCGATGGTTTTTGTTTTCATTCGATGATGGGGGTTATAGTTCAAGAGAAGATCAACACTCAGTAGCAATTATACCGACATATATCTCACCTTCTTCGTCAACTTGATTGATCCTTGCACAGTGCCTACAGAAATGGCATAGTTATTGCCTCATGTAAAACACGAAAAACACTACAGAAAAATTATGTTTTTCTTTTGCGTTTCTTGAATCAGATTCTATTCACCAGAGAATTTTTTTCATCGACGTCATTTCTTTCTGAATAGCCCACTTTTAATGTTTTTCGTCTCAAAAACACCTTTCTTCTTTTCTGAAGGTTGTTGTTTGTTTCCTTTTCCAAGTTGGTAAAATACATTGCTGCACATAACGCAGCAAGCATTGATTTGTCTTATGCAACGCAAATCAACTTGTTGATGTCTATCGGCCATAAAATAAAGTTATTGCTTATGTGAGATATTTGTTTTTCCCTTTTTGTATCTTTTTCTCATGTATTACATAGTAAATTTAAACTTAGTTGTTCACAGCAGAGAAGTTTTCTTTATAGAATTCAAAAGAAATCATGCACAAGTAAGGGTGTGGGTGTGTGACTAATATAAGAGAAGAACCACACCCTTCACCAATATCCAATGCAACATCGCTCGTTATGGAACAGGGAACAGTCGTTGAGTCAAAATGTCAGTTTGGTTTCACAACAAAATGTGCTTGACATTCTCCAAAAAGAAAACTCTGACGAACATAAAATGAAAAGTAACCACGCACTAAAATTTTGTCGTTTCCACCCACTACATAAAACATACACGAAGCTCTCTGACTCTCTTTCAACTTACATTTTGATAAGAATGAATACAGATAATGGCATTATTTTGACTTTCTTAAGTACCATATTTTTCCAAGTAGGGTCGCAACTGTGAGGCTATGGTTGTGACTATGGCACTAACTGCATGAAGTCATAATTTGGAAAATTTGAATTTTCAGCAAAATCATTTTCCAAAAAAAAAGAAACCTCTTTGCAACAATATGTACACATATATATGCGAATTATAACTGGAATCAAAATTTATACTGCTCCATACCACTTATGCCCTCTTATACCTCGTAAGTTATATGTTGTGGGTAAGATCCTTATTTTTTGAAAAATAATTTTGCCGTAAATTCGAAATTCCCATGAACTCGATGAAGTGCGAATAGTAGTGAGTTTGTTCGTGGGTGTAGGCGACTGTTTTTCGCTCACAACCAGCCTTCCCGATGATTATTGCATTGATAAAGACAATCAAAGTTGTGTTGCAAGGTAGAATTTAAGTGCAGGTTCTATTTCTTTAGAACATTTTCTTTTTACAAATAATTCATTAACTGCATCATCAACACCAACTAAATTATCAAATATGGAAGACAATATGAAAATATTAGAAAGTATGGGTTTTACCGATCGAGAATTAAATCGTAAGGCTTTAACTAGAGCTGAGAATGATATTAGTGAAGCTGTTACTTTGCTGACAAGCTCACATTTTTTTAATGATGACTTTATGACTCCCAACGAACAAAGGCCAACATCAACATTTATTGGTTCATTTACTGAAAAACAAATGAAACAACAACAAAACTTAAAATTAAGATTTTAATTTTAATTTAAACCGCTTTTCTTTTCTCGTTGAAGATCACCTTAGATAAAGTTTTCAGTGCATCGTCAGATGGATTATCTATAGAAAATTCGAATTCATTTACAACCAGTGCTTTTCTGGATCTTGAAAAAAAGTCTATAGAGACACATGGTCAATTCCTTATAAACGTAAATTTAATACGAATGAATATTTTTTGCAAGTAAACGTTACATTTGTTCATATTTAGGTGAAGAAGACCTTGGCCGTTGCCTTTTATCGGCTACCAGGCTTGCACTTGATGGTTAAACTAATAGTTTGTTAATTTTTTTGTAATTCTAAAATTTCAGGAATCGCTGATCAAGATGAACATTGCAAAAAATTTATGGAAGCTTTAATTCCAGAAGCTTTTCGAAAAGTATTAAAAATTTATTTTGGTTTTTGTTTTTTATTGATTTATATTGCCATGTGTTAGTTGCAATGCTCTCATCCTATTAATCATTGGGCAGTTGTGGTTCAATTGGGTGTCTTGATATGGTGCAATTATTAGTTGATCTAGGGTGTGGGTGTGGGTGTGAGTGGGTGTAGGGTCTGCGTATCCTCGAATCTAGCTTACACCCACACCTACACCCATTTGGTTGTCAAAATATTATTTGAGTTTTTGTATGTAATTGTTGATAAGCTTGAGAGAACATTTTGTTTTCACTATTGTTTGCATTTGTACAAGATTTAAGTATATCAAAATTAATCATATCCCAATCACTCTCAGATCTCAATTGCGTTTTTTTCTAAAGTGTCTTGAAAAAATTGAACTTTTAGCACTGTTGGAGTTAAAACTATTTTTCAAAAAGTTGATCAGTTATAACTCAAAAGTTATAACTCGAGCTATAACTTTTGACTTTTAACTCCCAACTTTGTAGTGGTTAAAACACCTTCTTCGGAAAGTTGAACAGTTATAACTCAAAGGTTAAAACTCGAATTATAACTACCCTAATTTTAACTCCAACAGTGACTTTTAGTGAATATAATAAATCACATTTTATTTTACAAAATTGATCAGTTAGAAAACTTTGTCTCATTGGTAAACTTAAATCAATTAATGAAAGACTTTTTTCAATAAATTTATTTGATGCATATAAAAATTGAGCACGAATTTCTATAGAATCAGTACGAATATTTGATAAAGATATAGAATTTTTAAAGAATGCTGAATCGGATTGATATTCTATTGAAAGTTTTTCAATGAATTTCGAAAATGAATCATTAAGTGATTCATTATTATTGATTAAATTGATTAGATCTTGATCCGATATTGTATTAAAATCAGCATTAGATTGTTTAAAATCATCTTGATTTAATTGAATATCATTGCATTGTTGAAGAAATTCTTCAGGTAATAATGTTTGTTTTGTTGGATTAGTCTAAGCAATAATATTATTAATTGTTGTAAATAAATCTTTAATTTGATTACTATCTTCAATATGTTGAGTTTCTTATTTTTTTAATAAAATAAATTTCAAATCTGTTAAAGCTATTCGAAGACTTTTAGTTGAAAAATTACTTCTTGACATTGCTGTTGATGGTAAGTCAATTAATAATTGAATAGATAATTGTTGAATTTTATCATTTAAGTTAAAATGTTCACTTGTATGAAGTAAACTATTAAACAGGAAGAAACTATAGAGTACAAAAAATATCGTTTAGGATTCAATAATATGAAGACAAATTCAGAGCTAGATTCACAATACTATGGATTCTTAGTTTACCATAGGAGGAATGAGTCAAAGCACATATCTTTTTATGGTTAATCATGGTGAGATGGGTGTGGGTGCGATTAAAAGGGAGACAGTCACACTCACACCTACACCCCACACCCTGATGGGTCCCTTAAGAAAGATCGAACCACGTGCCATGGCAGCTTGTCGCATTCACTCACACCGAGAACAAGCTCTGTACATAATTAAATCAAACCGTCTGATTAGACTCTTAAGGAAGGTTGAAATCACGACCACGGTTAGCTTAAAATACACCCACACCTACAGGATGGCTCAAAAGTTATCGGTCAGTCCTAAATTGCGAGTAACTTTTGATAGGAACCAGATGGAGAGTTGCGGCTTTCACCGTTTCAAAGAGACATGCTTGAGCCATAGATCTGTATAAAACTCATGGAAACCTAAGACGTTTTTTTATACAGAATTCTGGATTAACTTTGTTTTGTACACTTATTTTCGTCAATTTTCACAATAATCGCAACTAAAATTATGTCAAAATAGAGCTAAAATCATACTTTTTTTACTATAAAATTATGAAAGTTTCTTTGATAATCTACTTTGTAAGTGATAGAGGGTTGATCGAAAATGAAACGATCTTACAGGAAAAAAAGTATGATTTTAGCTATATTTTGACATAATTTGAATTGCGATTATTGTGAAAATTGACGAAAATATGTGTACAAAACAAAGTTAGTTCAGAATTCTCTATAAAAAACGTCTTGGATTTTCATGAGTTTTATACAGATCGATGGCTCAAGTATTGCTCTTTGAAACGGTGAAAGACGCAGCTCTCTATCTTTTTTCCTATCAAAAGTTACTCGCAATTGACGATTGACCGGTAACTTTTGGGCCACCCTGTATATTTCGTGAACTTTTACTCTTAAGATTTGAGTCGGAAGAAATGATTAATTCGTTATTTTGAAACATAATCTTGAATCATCAATATTCAATTTCATAGAATATTATCGAAATTAATGTTGAACATACGATGAGTGTTCGATGATTCCAATGGCTTCTATCTAGTATATTTGATTGAAACCAAGATCAATATACTATCAGGTATTATCATATTGAGATAGATGGCAAGTAAAAACAGAAAGAAAAAGTAATTTTTGAGTACTATTTGTTCTTTCTTAGCATTTTCCGACTTGCAAAGCGATAGAAAAAAACAAATACGAAATGTGATTCATATATTTTTTTTCTTCGGATTCGCTCATGACAAAATTTTGATGAGTAATTAATTGCCATTTGCAGATAAGAATTCGTTTACGACATCGGAAGAAAAAGAACGCTGCTTCTTATTTAAACTTTATTAGTCAATTTGGAATATTCCAGCTGTATAAAATGAAATATTTTGATGTTTTCTTATTATAAAAAGGCAACAAAAGTAACAGAATGAATGACGATATCTATGAAGTAGTAACAACAAATAAAACATTTCGCTTTACATCGGGTCAACTTCTAACTCTTGATCAATATCAGATCGAAAAAATTCCCTATTTGGCTGCTGTTGTTTCTTCTGCGGATAAATTTGAGTCAATTTGTGACGAATATGGCTACATCAAACTGGATCCAAACATTGACTTCAAACATTTTCCCTTCGTTATTGAATCACTCGCGTTCCGATCCGTTCGACAAATATTTAATCATCTACCGAAACAAGATAATATTATCGAAATTATTGCCCTTTTTGATTTTCTTGGCATTGGACCTCAACCAGATCCGACTTTGGACGAAGTTGATTCGACTTTTTTTTCTCTATACTAATCTATAGTCCTATGCTAGATACCTGTTTACAAACGATTAGACCATCTACTTTACAAGACGTGGTTGTTCGATTTAGTATTGCTATGATTAAAGAAGAATATGATTTCAGCAATCCTCAAATCATCGATCGAATCTATTAGTACATTATGTGTATTCTAAGTGCTCATAGTCTCTTCGGATCTCGTATTCGTCATCACGTGTATAAAATTGCTGAGCATTGTTTTTCTCTGTTCAATCCCTTTCTATTGAAACCTCTCAAGAGAATTATACGGGGAACAATCCAAGATATAAGAAAGAAAAGGTTGGCTATAAATGATGGGGATGTTGGTCCTGATGAAGAAAACGAAAATTTTCTGGAACAACGGTTAAATGGTAGTTTTGATCATATTCTTGCCTTCCGATGTCCAACAGTATATTCGCGCCGAGCCCTTCTCAATAGTACATATCGAGGCTATTGCTATGGGATGAGATACCCATCTAACGAGAAGGAACTTTTCGAACCAATACATAAACGCATAGTAGAAGTTATATATGAGGGTGTGGGTGTTCTTCTTCTCTCAATCAAAACTAACACACCCACACCCACAGCCTCCATAGATCAAACTGTATGAAAAAGAAGCCCAAAATACTGATTTTTCACCATAGTAATTCTGATGTCTGTTCAGTAAAACTTTCCCATATTCGTTCAAGAACATTTTACAAATGTTCCAGTGGTGTTACAAGCACATCTCGACGAGCTCTATCTAATGGTGCAATCAGATTTTCCATATGCCAAAACATGTCTCCGAAACGATCAGGATAGTGGTACGTTACGTTTTTATCGTATAATATACTATAATATCTTTGTGTCATTTACATAGGAGTGTTTTACGAAGCAATCCGTTTGTTATCATAAGTATCATTCTATATGACTCATTCAGTAAGTAAACGGATCGACTTTTCAAAACTTCTTGGTGAATTCGATTTATTTCGGTGAGTCGCTCTCAGCCGATGTCATCAAAATCGCGACACTTTAGGCGATTAACCCTTTCGTATCATTGCTCCGCCTATGGACGAAATCTCTTTTGGAGCTTATATTACATATGGGCACTCTGTATTAGGAATATTTTCATCAAAACGTTTTGAAAATCTTCAAGTTATATGCGACCCATTCCTGTACTCCGCTACGGGGATCATTTCGAAGTATTTTAGTCATCGTCATGGGGCAGTACGGGTATAGTTTAAAAATTGAATTGAACGCTGTTGCAAAATTCATTATGGTTCTAACTTCTGTATAGATGTATGCGTCAAAATTGATTCTACATTATAGAGAAAATTCCACATCGATATCTTTTTGCGTTCGAGACTTTTTGAAATATTTGGAAACTTGAAAAATTTGTACCTTATAAGACGCGCTTGTCCTCAACTGGTTAATTCGCGATTTTTTAAGTAACAAAAAATATCGTCGAGTGAGCATGATTTTGGAACATGTTTCTGGACAAATATCGGATGGTTTTACTCGAATATCGTGCTAACTTCACCTACGTGCAACATTTTTTTTGAATAAAAATACTCCGTATTCTTTTCCAAGCAAGCCATGTAAAATAAAACTTTCAAGTATCTTTTACAAGTAGATATCTCATCCCATCCAAACTGGCCTACTGCTCAAGAGTTACCCAGTGTTGTCACGCTTTTCGTTGAACAGGCAATTAATGTGAAACTCAAATAAAAATTTGGCTCAGGGTCTGCTACATTTTGAACAGTGTTTCTCTAAATGACATGTAAGTCGAACGTGTGTTACGTCTTGATTTTGTTGACTCTTTTGTTGACCTGTAGAATAGGTATTATCCTCGTGCTGCTGCTGTCTCTTTTGCTTATTGGGGCTGCCTCGCCAAAATCATCACCATTCGATTCTCTTTCCACACACGTTAAAATTGATGAGATGCTACCTTTTCTTCAAAACCGTGAAGAAGCTCACAGCTTTCTCGCGAACTCGAAACATTTTAAGTGTCTATTTGAAGAACAAGAATCACAGAAGATTGGCATCTCAGAACATCGAGAAGAGAAAAAAGGACAACGGAAAAGACTTTGTGGCGATTCTAGACGTTCAAGAAAAACTGGAAACACCATCAAGACCATTCAAGAGACTCTCATAAATATTGAATGAACTTCATCTTGTACAGTGATATGTAATATCACTGACAAGAACGTACTTTTTCAAGCTCGAAAGAGATGCGAAGAACGAAAGAACGATACTACAATCGGTTATCAAATGAAAACTTTATTTTATAATCATTTAGAGTTGAGTATGCGGAACACCGTATATGATCGCTAGTGAACGCCTCTGATTTCCTTTGCGATTGTGTTGCGTCTGAATTCTTCTCTATTGACTTACGACCTTATTTCGTAGACTATGCATGCGACAATAGACGGTTATAATAACATTTCTGCTCTTATATACCCATCGACAGCTGTAGAGAGAGAAAAATCTATAAAAAAAAACACTTTTTTTCATTCATAATTTAGAATGCAGCACAGTAATGAGCTAGAAGGATGCCAAAAATCCGATCACGATTCCAACGCTATAGTGAAAACAATTTCTCTTTCGATGAAGATACAAACAAGCTTGAAATACTATATAGGTACGTCGATGGATACAGCTATCATCGTGGACGAAAACACTGGTCGCACATCGCAATATTAATGCATTTTATCATAAAGTATGAATACATTGATATATCGTGAGAGCAGTCTTCTGTCTCCCTTTTTTTCATTCTCTGACACATAATGAAAAAAAAATGACTTGCGCTTGGATCGAAGATCCAAAAGTAATTGAGTTATTTATATTTATCACGAACGAGAAAGGATGATACTCTGAATTGGTACAAAAAGATACAAGTCAGGAAAATATGATAATATGGGACTATTCTTTCTTTCTTCGAAAAAACTTTGCTTGACAAGCTCACCATGGCTGTTTTATTTATTGATAGTCCTTTTGCGGAGCACAATTGAAAATGATTGCTGAAATAGATAGAGAGAAAGCTCGACCTCTCCCTCCCCCACAGATCGTGACAGGCATGTCAAAATATCTGTCACGACTTGTCACGCTTTTGGTCTCGTAAAAAGCTATGATAGGCATGGTGAGGCTTCTCATTTACAACTCAGACGACTCGATTGTGTTTCACATATTAATTTCATAGAGATCGTGGTAAAAGTTTTTCCCTCTTACGGCGAGAAAACAAATGAAAAACTATTACAAGCTCCTTGCATCTATATTCTGATATCATATCATACATTATTTGTCTTTCTTCATATTGATAACAAAATTGATGCATTTCTTTGAATTATGAATCATTTTTATATTGTTCAGAGTGATAGGTAACTATTCCAGATCGAACTTCGAGCTTCCAAGTGATACAACAGCTGATTCCACCTGAGCCTGCATCGCACGGCAATTGCTCATATGCAGTATCATCTTTTTGTAATGGATTAGTGAAGCTCGATGGAGTAATCACTTTCGATTTCGTCTTGGATTGTATTTTCATAGAATCACTATCTCGATCATCGCTCATTTGTCTATACAATCAGACATGTCTCAACAAGGGCAATCTCGATCATCTACCAGTGACTCCATTCCAGACGTCGGCATCCATTAAATACTCCTCGAATCGGACGATTGACGCATTGATTGATAACGTTTTCGATGACGAATGATTGGCGAATATCTCATACGCAAGCTTTTTCGCTAAATATCATTCAGTCAGTTGTTCACAAGCTGTCAGTCTGAAAAATGCTGCTCTACAGATTATTATCACTCTACCCAATATCTCTGGAGTCTTAACAGTTGCTTTACCTCTGGTGACGTCTTACATCATTAATGCAGTACATTGGTTAATCGCCAATGTCATACCAAGTAGCCAGTCAGTTCATTCGCATGTGCTACCAAATGCGATCAATGTGTCTCAATAAATGACTGTGTAGTGACTGCTAACTACGACTAAATCCTCAATGTGACTTACGCCTTATTATTTCTGCGTTTTGTTGCATATGCCTTATATGACTTGACAAGGAGCAATATCTCTGTCATGCAGTCTTTCTTTTTTTAAGCATGAAAACAAACAATGCTACAGAATGTTCTTATTTCAATCTAATCAATTCCGATTAGATAGTTTCGATTAGCGTAGCGATTCATTTGAATGACAATGAATCATACAGAATAGAACTGGTGTCGATTAGAACGCATGCTTTGCAAGATGGACTCTCGACAGACTGTTACATTTGATACAACTTTCTCTTCAGATTTACCTCGTCTGCTAAACTATATTCTACGTTAAAACATCCTTGAAGATGCATAGAATTCCGCTCTCGAACATCGACCATTGTTCTCAGTATCATTAAGTGAAAATCATCAGCAATCAGACATCGTTTTATTTCGTAGACGATACACTGTAAAATAAATCCGTTTTCTCCAAAATTTATAATAGGTTTTCGAGTTTGTCACTATATGAAACCCTTTATAGGTTTCCGAGCTCTTAAAAACCTTCAAAAGCAATCAAAAAAATGCTCAAGATTCCAGAAACTCAGTAGAGGTTTCCGGCAGCTACCCACAAAAAGATTCACTAATGTATATCTGTCGCCTTATTGTAACTGTTTATTCTAACCCTTATCTAACTCCTTAATCTATATTTGAGTTTCATATTGATGAACATGTGTTCGTAGCATAAGGAGACAAGAAAAGCTCTTTCATGTAAACTCATTGATTTCGTTCAAATTCTTCAACGTTCATGTCTGTTAAAGTGAGTACTATGAAGCTAGTGAGAGTCCTCGAGTGTATATGACTATTAGCTCTATAGAGTCATATTGTTAGCTGAAGTCTTAAAGTCTGTCAAGGACTTATATCTAATGTCAGTCAAAGTGTTAAATTTTTTAAAAGACAAAAACATAAACTTAATCGAATTGCTCAAGTGTTCTCGTTTTTCAAATTCGCGATCATGAAATCAGTGATATTGGTAGAAGTTGAAAGTGTCCTTAATAGCATGTCATTAATTTTGTCTGAGTTCTGGTGTCTTCATGACCTCAAAAAAATCAGCATCATACTGGAAGTCTTATTGCTATAGTCTTGATGTCGTCCTTCGAAAGATCGAGTGAAAAAGTTAGCCTGAGTCCTGTTGTCTTTCTGTATTTGAAAATCATAATCATGAAGTGGGTCTCTGCCAAGGAGTCTTTATGTTTTTTCTTTTGAGCAAGAGTGGTAAAGCCAGTCTTGTGTCTTGGAGTCTTCACATTTCAAAGCTATCGTCATGAAGTCAGTTAAAGCTTCTGAGTCCTCATATCTCTGAAAGCCATAGCCATGGAGTTAGTGAATGTCATTAGGTTTGAATTAATCCTGTCGAACTCACAGTCATAAAGTCAAGTGGAGTCCTATTGTGATGAAAGCTTTTTGTGTATTGAAGTCAAAATCTTTAAAGTACTCTTACTTCTAGTGTCCGTGTTGATGTCACTCGAAGTCTTAGGACCTTTAGTTTCGTTACCGTTGCAGTGTAGTTTTCGTGTTCGTATTTTTTTTTCGGACCGTTTACCGGATCAGTTGAGAAAATTATATTTCGCCATGTAAAGAAGTAAATATCTACCGTTTTTTATCAGAACGCTTCCAAAATATTTTCCTTGTTTATGTGTTCAAACAGACGATTCATAAAAACGTCAACTTATTTTTGAAACTATACATCATAGCATTCTCCACAAGAGGTGACTGCAAAAATTCTTGTGACTTGTACTAATAGATTTGAAGAGAGCTTTAAAGG